GTAAATTATCGAAGGACCAGTTCTGGACAACAGTGCACATCGATTTGTAACAATGAACTGCACTTATTAAACAGACTATTTGTTATTGTTTGCTATAAAATGGCACAGAGAAAAACATAATGTTTATTACACTTTCTTCTTGTCGCTTTGAATTACGCTAACACAAGAGACATCGACATTTATTCACGTTCTTGAAACAAAACAGTTTTTACATTAAACACATAGACAAACCATTACCCAATTTTTATTATTTAATTTGCTTTTTGTAGTTTATTAATTCAAGCACCAAAGGGTTGTGTGTTTTTTGAAACAATTTGGAAACGAATAACATTTTTTAATAAAATGTTTTTCAACTGAAATTTAGTCTTGCACTCCCTTTCCCTGTAAAAAAGACTAATAATTTTAACTTGCACACCTTGGGGAAGTCACTTTAATTGAATTATTTTTTATTTTTTATACCAAAAAATCGTTTTGTGCATTTATTTTTTAAATAAAAACTTATAAGCAAAACAGAACAAAAATTACAACCAAAATAATATTGAGTTGGTGGAAAAAGTCAGCTTTCGCAAATTATAGTAATATATAATATTTATTGTTATAAATTAAAAAACATTTTGTATTATTTTAAAAACATTAATTAAAACAAAAAATAATTAAAAATACTTGTAAAACCAAACAATGGTTGAATTTTTTATACTTACGTTAATAAAATCGACGTTTCGGATACATAACGGTGTTTCGTTGTTGTGGTTGTATTACCCCATAAACAGTCGATTGCGACCACTTGATGTTTGTTTTTGTAATTGAAAATGATGATTTGGCAAATATAAAAAAAGCATATTTGAAAGTAATCAAACAAATAATTTGAATTATTATTTAATAAATACAACACAATTCAATAATAAAAAAAAACTTAAATGTAGCATTAGAAACAATTAATTTATTAAAAACAAATTTGGATTTATAAATATATTACAGAAATCCACAAAACGCAGCCAATATTTAAAAATGTCATTCATTCAATTCAGCCATGAATCGAATCAATCTGAATGTGAAAGAGTCAATGTGTAAAATTCGCTGAGATTGATTATGGAAGTAGCTTATAGTTTTAAAATATTCTGATTTTCTGTATTTAATTTCAAAAAGGCGTTTTAATATTTAAATTAAATTTGTGTCCTGCTCAAAAGTTAAATAAATTTTAATATAAATACAAACAATAACCAATAAAAATGGTTATTTATATTAAAATATAGTTAATCTTATCGAGACAGTTTTTTGTTTCCTCTGAGATAATTATTCATAAAATCTAAAAACAATGATAAAAAGCACACATAACTAACATGAAAATTGCCATTTCTTTTTTGACAAAACAAATAAATAATAATAGTTGGAATAAAAAAAACAAATTTGGTTAAGTTCGCTAAATGACACAAATTGATAATTGTGGTTGTTGTTAGCATTGAGTATCATGATTCTGTGTTATATTGAAAATGATAGAGTCGATATAGTTGTAAATTATATAATAACAATAAAACGAATCCATTATACATCGCTTTTACAAACAGTGATGTTTTGCAATTGATTATTAAGCAACCCAAATATAAAGAATAATTAGAATTTATACCTCTTAATTAACAATAAAAAGATAAATTACTTATAATGTAAAACACAAATAATATACACAAATAAATCAATAAAATAGCATTGATGAACAAAGAAGTTTGATTTTTTGTTGATTGAAAAATAAAAAACATGGTTATGTTTACCTTATTCATTTTAAACACTCTTTTCAATAGATTATTAAAATAAGTAATTATATACATCAAAGTATCAAGAATTATTAACTAATAATTAATTAAACAATCCATATATAGGACAAGAAGTCAAACAACAATATAAAAATATGTGGATTATATGTAATAAGGATAATTGTTATTAAATTAATAATATATTTGACACTAAAAACTATTTTTAATGATTGCTTGTTATATTTTAAATTCTTTTGATAAAAATTCTTCAAAGAATTAGTCACAATATAGTAAATACCAAAAGATGATAAAAATATATTAAAGACAGACAAAAACAGTCAAAAATTTTGCTACGTCGTACTGTCTAAAAAATACACAGTTAAAATAAAAAGTTCTTTGAAAATTTTTTATTTTTTTATAAAGACTATTGTGTGTAAATAAATTTTGTGTGTTTTTTATTATAACTAATGTGTTCATATTACTTTTGCAAATTGTATTTCATTTTCAACTCAGAACCAATAGTTTTTTTGTTTAGTGTATAAAAAACATATTTGTTGTTTCAAAATAAATGTTATTGCATTTTACCAGTATTATTATTTTGCCATTTTTTTACGTTTTTGTCATAAAATTTTATATTTTTTTTCACAATTTATTTGTTTTTTAGTTCACGATTTGAACTTGTTATTCCATTTTCATTTTACTATAATTGAACTACACTGTATAATATAATTTTTTTCAAAAAAACAAAAACACTGCTCTTTTTAACACTATTGGTTCGTTGGGGATTAGGTACGTCGGAGACAGGGCTGCAAACTGGATTCAACTGGTGGCTAGCCCGTGTTAATTTTTAATTATTTTTAGCCAGAATTTGTGTTTGGAACTATTATTTTTAATTCGTTGTATAAATTAATTAGGATTTGTCAGCCAGTAGTGATAAAAAAATGGCTAGCCACAAAATCGTCCAAACTATACACATTCGAAAATGATGGTAAAAAAGAAAACCATTTAAATAATGAGGAATAGAAAGTATAGTTTCTTGTAGTTTTGAAAAGCCATAACAAATCTCCGTGTTTTTTAATAGTTTTTAAACATAGTAAATTAAATTAATGGTAATAGTTTGTTGTTTGTGTCAAACAAAAAATACTTAAGTAAATTATTGTAATAAATGATTATTTATTCAGAAAAGAAACACACAGAAAACAAAAAGACAAAAAACAATATGTTATACCATTTTATAATTATGTTTTTTAAAATTGTTAATTTCTGTATAATTGTAATGTATCACAACCATCTTTATTTTGAATAATTATTATAACATAATATGAACATTTAATTGTTTGATATGTTGTATTTTCATCAACAGACATTATTTGTTTTTTATGAAATAATAATAAGGATTTTAAAAGTATTTTAATTAAATATTCTACAAAATGATGTACTACTTGATAAAGCAAGTAGATTGTTATTTGACTTGAACTCAAAATACATATTCAAATAGATTACTCAAATCTAACACTTTTTGACTTTTAAATAATAAAGAAAATGATCATAATATTTAACACTGACAATTTGTTTTAGATAATAATTGATAATTCATTGTGTAACATTAAAAACAAATTTTTAACGACCATTTAAATATGTTTGGAAAGGGATTATACACATAACTAATTATAAATATTATTTATTTTTTAAAATGACATTATTTGTTTTTGTGAATCAAAACAAATTGTTTAATTTTGTACAAGTCGTTCCAAAGTTGTCAACAACTTGTATTCAATTTAGAATAAAAACTATTATCATGTTTTCATTATCAAATGTGCTGTTTAAAACACAACAAAATTAACATAAAAATAAATATATTTATTTTTATTACAAAGTATCGTCCAACCTTGTAATGTCAATTTATATTTTTTAATTTTCATTCAATGAAACAACAAACTGTCATATAAATTAATTTGTGTCAAATTTTTAATCCCTTTATTCTACATTTTGGTTCTAATCATGTTAATATTTAAATTGAGAAACATATCCAAACTCTTTTTGTGTTTTATTTGATACACTAATTGTGTTTAATGAATACAATGAAACAGTGATTAAAGTGACTTCCCAAGGTGTGCAAGTTAGTTTAAAGGTGTGCAAGTTAAGGTATAGTTCATTTATAATTTTTTTATTAAAAAAATAGAATCATTAATTTTTTGAAATTTTGAAAAAAAAAGATTATTTTTAGTTTAATTATTAATTATAATTTTAAAGTTATTACTAAACTATACTTTAACTTGCACACCTTGTGACGTTGCAATTTTTGACTTTCACACTTCTAATACAATAAATTAAGCAACAATTTCGGGAATACGACCTAATTTACTTTTTCGAAGGACAACTTCCAAGACAATACAACAACTCGAATTAAAACAACAAAATACATTGCTATGAGTAAACTTTTTATTCGTCTTTGCCATAAAAAGGTATTGGAAAGGTTTTTGTATCAACCAATTCGTATTCTTTGATCACTTTAGGCCAATTGAACCGAGATGAAAGACAACGACACCAACCTTTGTCTGTAAACAAAACTGGTTTCCCATTTTTAAACACAGAAACCAACCCACATTGACGAAAAAAAGATACAACATTGACGAAAGTGGCAGTTTTTTGCCACGATTGCATAATTCTTTTTAAATGTTCGGTTTGTTTATCCAAATCATCGTCCCATTCTAACATATTAACTTGCCTTTTTTGAATGCCATAAATTCCAACATCAAGTGGTTGTGTATATTCGGAACTATGTGCGGGTAATAGTTGTATAAATATACCATTTGTACTCATTTTTTCAATAACACTGCTAGTTATATGTGATATAAACCCATCCATAAACACAACAGCAGGACCATCATATAAATATTGTGCTCTCAATTCAATTATTCTTGGAATCAAAATGGTGTCTACAAAGTATTCAAAAATAAGGTTGTTCATAAATCCTGATGGATTAGAAACCATCGCTATTGTACTAGCAGAAAGTCCTTCGACATTCATTCTGGTTTGAGCGGTTTTCCTTTTTAGAACGAAAAGTGGTTTTAAAAAAGAACCATCAAGACTTATTGTGAATAGCACAGATGTGTTTTGTATGTCTCTCCTAACCGGATACGTATAACGTG